GTATGAATGGGTTTCAAATGTATTTAGATAAAGCAGTAACAAATTGTGATATTGAAGGTGTGATACGCGGATATTGAATAGGTGAATAGCCCAGGACAGCAGAGATACCATGAATGTTTAGCAGGCAATTAGGCAAAGGATCGACCTCATTTTTCTCTGATGAGTTGTAATGTCGTGCTAAGAATGACGGTTCACTGGCGATGCCGGCGAAACGTCTGGTAATATACCAAGTCCACGGTCCGATTCTGGAAATGATCATGCATACTATGTTCTCAGGACAAGGTGTGTTCCTCTAGATTTTCCTGCCAATATAACCACATTGCGAAATCATGGCGAAAATCATCTATATAACGAAAAGAGAATGCGACCATGCAAAAGGACACCGTATCGGTCTTTATACCTTCGTTTAAAATATATTGATGGCGCACCCAAAAATAAATAATTTACTCAATATAAATTTGACTATGCAAACAGGCTATTTCAGATACACAGTATTTTGATTTATTATGTTTTTTTCTTATGCTAAAATGCATTTTTAACAGCTTTGCTTATCCTCTACCTTCTTACTAGACTCATATTTATCTTTTGTTCCCTTCTTCGAATAGTGATGCATTACACGAGGAGGAAAGGGAGCTGAAGCGTGCGATTGCTAAAACTAAGCAAGCAGAACGGGAACGTTTGCAACGGCGTTTAAAGGAGGCTGAGGCACGAAAAGTAGGAGCAGATGCCGGTGAGATTGAAGAACAATTAGCTCTCAGCTTGGAACAGAGCCGCAGGCTAAAGACCGAACAGATGATAAATTCTGGAGCTAAATCGTCGCAGGACGATTCTGCTGCTATTCAGCCCGTAATAGTCCAGAATCCCGCTGAATTTATTTCTGAAATGCTCGGCTATAAGGCCCAAAGCAAGCTTAGAAAAAAGGTAAATTGATTAATCATTTGAAAATTTGCCCGGACCCCCCCTCTGATCCAATTTTCATATGCATTTGTTTGATGAACAAATAACGGAGTAAATTATCTCAAATTTCTTAAGGGTTTAGGCTTATTTTCACTATTCCAGACAATTAATTTTATCTGAAGAATGAGTAATGGATAAATGACAATCAAACAGTTCATAAGAATTTTGAAAGAGCTCATGGACTATGCTGCATCAATTACTTGATCATGTCATTTAAAACATTTTTCAAATGAAATATATTTCTCAGGCGAATATCTATCAATGACAGCGTTCAGAAGATAATTTTTACTATCTCCACGGGCATGGGGAAATTAATTGC